AACAGCTATAAACTTATCTTGACCTATAAATTCAATTACTTTAAGTATTTGTTCTTCATTAAATGCAGCAGTATGTTGATCAGAAGAAAAGTCATTAATAGAATATATGTATTGACGTCGAGTAGAAGTAATAATTATAAATGCATATATACAATGTCCAAGAGGACTAGTCCATGAGTCAATTCCTAATAATATATTAAAATTTTTATTAATTCTTGACAAATAAGATAAAATAATATAATAAAATTCTTACCTAAAGTTAGATTTTTTGCTTGTCGTAACTCTTCTTCAATTTTTATTGCAATATTTGCTGTCTCAGCATCTAATAGTTGATTAGATAATGCTGATCGTTTTGGTAATTCATATCCATAACATAAACTCTTTGTAAAATCTCGAAAAAAAGGAGATTCTACAACAGAAAATGGGATTTCACAACAAACAAAAAATCGAACTAAAGCCTTATGAATTCGTAAGATTTTTGTTTCATCAATTTTATCACTATCAAAATAGTTGTATAGGCTATTTTTATCATCTAATTTTCGTCTTTTATTGGTTGATTCTAAAATATCATCACTTTTAATTATACGCAAATATTCAAGTTTTACATCATGTGTAATCATAGAACATTTAAGAGCTAAATGTGCCTTCATATCACTTGGTTTTCCTCGTTTCCAAGTTTGATTACAAAATTTACATTGAGCTGATTTATGAGAACTATTTGGAATATCGATTGAATTAAAATGTTCCCATACATCATCTTTTGGTTTACCACCTAATGCTTTATTTTTTTGTTATGATAGAGGTGTAATATCACTATCATCTATAAAGGAATCATCATATATTGTTGTTTCTCCTGAAATACTACTCTATAATAATAATTATTAATAAATACATAAAAAAATTAATTTTTTATAAAAAAAATAATTTGAATAAAGCATTAACTTACCATTTTTAAAAAATGTAAATTTGGTTGAAAATAGGTAAATATGATTAAAAAAAATTTGTTTGAAAAAAATGGATAAAATATATATATATATATTTGTTTGTAAAAAAAAATTTCGTTTATATAAAATATTTGTTACCGTTTTAAAACAACAAAAAAAAAGGTAAAAAAATAAAATTCACTTCAAAAAAAAATAAAATTTGTTTCAAAAAAAACGTTTATAAGAAAGAACAATTGTTTAGAAAAAAATTGATGTAAAGAAAAGGTTGAAAAACAAAATTAAAAAAGCTAAACCAAGCAATCAGAAAAATTGGAAATAAAAATATTGATGTAAAAAATGAAGGCTTTGTAAAAAAAAATAAAATAAATTTCAAGATCTTTATATAAAAAAAAACCAAAAAATGGACTTTATATAAAAAAATAAAATAGGAAGAAGTCTATGTAAAACTGAAAAAAAAAAATGGAGACCGTGTGAAAGAAATAATAGCCTAATCATAAATAAAATGAAAATTTTATAGCATTGTTAAAAGCATTATTTTACTTGCCGATGAAGGTTAATGAGTTTTGATTATTCTGATATGTGTGTCTTTTAGGACAAGCTGTGTTACAAAATATTATACTTTAAAAAAAGTGTGAGAAAATCATTTTTATGTAACATAACTAGATCAGATTTAATCCTTTCTTTTGGTTCAGTAATAATGGAGGCAGGATCTTCAAATCTGACAATCCTCTTCTTTTTCTATTATATGTCTTTTTTGATTTGGTTGATTAATCAACAATATATTTTATAGGATTAAGTTAGGTTCTTTCTTTTTAGATAAAGGCGGAGCTATGTTTTCATACTACAAATTACACTAAACCCTTAAGAAATACTATAGATTAAATAATAAAGCAACAATAGAAAGAATAATAAAAAGAAACTTTCATTACGCATCTGACTGCGCTATCGGGATAAACTGACCAATCTGAATCTAAAGAAATCGCCCTAAAAGATAGAAAAAATTAAAATAAATAATAAAAAAGGGATTAGTAATCCCAATAAATGTAAATAAAAAGGATCAAATCATCACGTATCTGATTGCACTGCCGTGATGAATCGACCAATCTGAATCTAAAGAAATCGCCTTAGAAGATAGAAAAAATTAAAATAAATAATAAAAAAGAGATTAGTAATCCCAATAAATGCAAAAAAAAGATAAAATCATCACATACCTGACTGTACCACTGTAATGAATCGACCGATCCAATTCTAAAGAAATCACCTTAGAAAATAGAAAAAATTAAAATAAATAGATTAAATTTTCACGTATCTGACTGTGTCGCTGTGACAAACTGACCAATCTGAATCTAAAGAAATTGCCCTAGAAGATAAAAAAATTAAAATAAATAATAATAAAAAGGGGATTAGTAATCCCAATCAATATAAAAAAAAAGAATCAAATCATCACGCACCTGATTACACCGCCATGATGAGCTGAAGGCGTCCAAAGTGCCGCATCCAAAAGGATGGAATCGTTCTGTATTTTTTTTTTTAATTAATTTATTTTTTTTAATGTCTTTCCTCCCCCTTTTTAATTTCATTTTTATCTTTTCATTTTTAATTAATTTATTTAATTTATTTATTTTTTTTTTAGTTTTTATACATACCATTTTTTTTATTCGTTCGAGTTTCATAGCAATAAAGTTCCATTAAGGTGTTGGGTAAAGTTGGTAATATGGTTATTTGAGTGATAGAGCATGGGAGTTTCGTTAAGTTAGGTAATGTTGGTAAGCTCGTTATTTGAGTTTTAGAGAAACGGAGTTCCGTTAACGAGTTAGATAAAGATGGTAAGCTGGTTATTTGAGAATTGCTACAATCGAATTTTGTCAATTTTCGATATCTTTGTAATCCGCCTAAGGTGTTCAATATGTCATCCTTATTAGCATCTGTAATAATTAATTCAAGTTGTTTAATCCTCTTTTCTAATTTATCAATAATTCCTTGCTTTTCTTTGGACACTTCTTCTCGCTCTCTCATTTTTTCTTCTAAATTATTGAATTCTGAACGTAACCATTCGTTACTTTGCTCTAACTCCTTAATTCTCATTTCCAAGTCTGTTAGTATTTTTTCTAAATTGTTCTTTAAAACCATTTTTTTGTACGAATGATGATTTTAATGATTTATTTTTTTATTTAATTTTTTTTTCTTTTTTTTTAAAAAAAAAAAAAAAGATTTCCTTACATAAAAATTCACCAATAGAAAACTAAATTTACTCAGCCCTCGGCTCTTTCCATAAATAATCTTGATTGTCCGGATAACTCTTTCCATGGATTGACTTACCAAAAAAGTTAACTGCTTTCTGAATTGGGTAAGTTATAATGAGTTGTTATAATATAGTGGAACGAAAATTACGAAGCTATTAATTTAATTGAAAATCACCCGATTTTCGTAAGGGGCCCATTTTCGATATGATGATTAATCTATTTATTTATTGAAAATTATGATAAATAATGATAACGTCGTAAAAATATTATATATAATTTCGAACGAGAAACGTTGATAATTTTTTTTGTGATAAATTATAATTTAAATTAGTTTATATTGATTTGATCATTGGAATTTGAAATGAAACGATGCAATGAGATTATTGCGCCTTCTTATAAGATGGATTTTATCAATGATTAATATTCTTTGCTTTCTTTTTCTCCTCCTTTATATCATCGTGAAAAAGTAAACAGAAATCCTCTTTATCTCTTGATTATATATTTCAAGTTCTATGTGGCGCTAACTATAGTCATCTCATCCCTGTTTCTATCGATAACAACGGCACTAATATCGGGAGATATTCAATTTCTGAGTTATTTAAAGAATAGACAAGTATGCTGGTGAATATATATCTATAAATATCTCACTAAGCAACAATCGGTTAAAATTTATAAGTCGCTCTCACTAAATGAAAAGATTCTACGAGTATTCCTCCTGCCAAACACGCACTCAAAGTTATTATAATACTAGCGGATACAGATGACTATGAAATGATGGTCATTCTTTTTAAATAAATTAGTTATAATGATGACTCTAAAATAACAGAATCGAATTAATCGAATAAAAATCGAATCTGTTTTAATGGCACAGTATGCTTGGATAAAACGTAGTGTTGTATTCAGTTCTTTAATTTTAAATATATAAAATTAAAAAATATAATAGTTACCTTTATAAAAGGCAAATAAAAAGAAAAGTAAAAATAATCGAAAACCATGTCTAATTGTAGGAAATACACTTACCCGGTTATAACGTGCCGTATGATATTATTCGGAAAGTTATATATGCATCATAAGCAAAAAGCAATTAGAAACTTTAGATCCAGTAATTTAAATTCAATCAGGAATCAATCTGGTTCCGAGTCCATTTCTCAATTTTCCGGAGCGACCCATACCATATTTGAATTTAATTCATTAATTATAATTATAAATGAATCATACTATTTATTATGATTCTATTTATTTTTCGTTTATATTTGTTAATTATCATAGTTTGGTTCATTAGGTTACCAATGTCATAATTTCGATAGTTTTTTTAAGTAATCGAATTAGATATACATATATGCCTATTTTTCTAAATTAGTATGATAACAAAAAATAATAAATTTTTAGAATTTTAAATAATTTGCAACATAAAATTAATAGTTCCAATGAATTAGGCTAACATATGTTATTTCACTAAGGATTGTGTGATTGAAAATATTAGAGAAAGAAAATTATTTATAAAAAATAAAGAATAATTTAATATGAATAAGCAATTATCTTATGATAGAAATTATAAATGGCTAGACTATATTATTTTTATTTTTTATTTTTTGGTTGTAAAAAACCTTATAATAAATCACAATTCCCGTGAAATAGTTATTACGGACAGTTAATATCGATCGGTCTCGGTCAAAGGCTTTGACTAATCATTGGCCGACCGTACCGTTGACTGAAACCATTTTTATCAAAATTATCGTTCTACGAGAATTATTTTATTGTAAAAATATCCTGAAAATCCTATGAAAATAAATTAATTATTTCCGGCATTTTCACTCCTTTATTCATCTAGACAAATAAAACATTGGCTGCACCTAAGTTCTTAAGTTTCAGATGAATAACTTCGGGTTGATCATTAGCTATTTTAAATATTTATAATTTATTCGAGAAGTTTTTTTGAGGTGAATATTTTTTTTTATAAAATATTTATTTATGGAGATAGTTATTTATTAATTGTAGGGCAAGCAGGGCGACCTATATAATTTACAATTTCCAGAAAGTATATGCAGCAAATTATTGCGGTAAGTTACTGTGCCACATTTACGCTACTAGGAAAGTTCTTATTAACATATTGAAGTATTTTGGCGTAATAAATCAAATTTATGAATTTAACGGCATATTAATAACGTATTATTTCGAAATTTAATTGGTCATTTTTGTACTGATATTAAAAAAAATATTCTGCACGGGATTTACTAAAGAAGTTTTATTTTAAACAATTGTTAGAAGTTCCTTCAATGTAAAATTAAATATCTATCAGTTTCGTGTTAAATCTCTTGTTAAATTTTGACATTTATTTTATTTTCTTTTTTTTATCCCTTGTTCTTAGTATTGTGTTTATTCTTTCGGTTTGAATTTAATTCAAATTAAGTTGTTCATGGCTATTTTGTTTGCGTTGTTTCAAACATGTCGAGATTATCTTCTTCGATTAAAATTGAGATAGGAACTAGCACGAAAAATCAACAGAACAAGCCTATTTCTTAATTTTGCTAGTTCAAAAGAATATAAAACTGATTAAATTATTAATTGTCACAAAAGTTAATTAGCAATTAAATTTTATGATACTGGAAACGGAATTTTTTTATTTATTTTCGTCATTTACATAACGATGATGTTAACCTGTAATTTTGCCGAAATTAAATGTCAACCACGTTAAATTTTCAAAGGTTTATCCATAAACAATTTCATTATACTTGTTATTACAACTGAAAACTCTGTCTACCGGATGGATTGTAACACATCATTAATAATCAATACTAAGCTTTGCTAGGCATGATTACCAATTCCTACATATGCA